GCTCTGTGTCAGTAATATTGGTGTCGAGACTGTCGGAGATTAGTTTCACAGAATATACACAACATTTTATATTAATACAAGTGTCCAAGGGTAGAATAACGAGGGAGATATGATTATAAAAAGAGCATACAAAGGCATCCGCGCACCCCCCCTCCATATCCATCAGTGAAAGGCAAAAAAAGAGCGAAGCAATCTAAGGTCATTCACTCAGTAACTCGATACAATCTTCCCTTGACAACTTAATTCTCCGCTGGCAGTCCCTATGTGAGAAGTGTTATTAATAGTATATAGACCCAATCACAGCTACAAAATACTCCAGGTAGCTTGGAGATTCGGACATCGATACCGTGAGGAGAAACGTTGATCAAGCCCTTCGATATTTTGGGATAATAGTTTTGCGCGCGTGTGTGTGTGGATCTCTTCCCACCACCCTCCTAAAAGATTAAAAACAAAACAAAACAACCCCCCCCCCCAAAGAAAAAAAATGTTAAGGGGTGGGGGGGGGGGGGGGGGGGCTCGACAGTTATGAGAATCTGGGTTAAGGGATCGAGGCTCTCTACCAGAAGAATGATCTCATTTAAGTCTTGGAAATATTGGAAACGGACGTTAAATTCGGAGGTACCGCCTCTTAAATAACTTTACACTTACAGTGATGCAAAGGGCGTTAAAGCTATACAATCTCACCAAAGAGGTTATTGATACATGTATAACTGGACTATTTATAACCAAAGATCGTACATAACAAGATTGTTCATTCAGCCAAAACGGTATCCGCAGAAGTCCGCGTATAGCTTCAGATAACTCTGCAGTCCTTGTTTTGAAGCTCTCTTTCGTTTCTCCAGAAGAAGAAATGGAATAACACGGTTTGTTGGTTTCACTTTTATTGTTTTTCTCACAAGTAGGACAACTCTATTCTATTCGCAAAGTCCGCGCTTTTTCGAAGAGGGCACCACCAATTTTGAGGACACTTTTTTAATTGGCTCAAAGAGAGGAGTGAACTATCTTGTATACACGATCTTTGTTATAACCTCTTTGACTCTCACAAAATCATGTTTGCACGAAAGCAATGAACGGTAGCCTCTGCATTCATTTCAAATTGCCGGGAGTAACGGATTTTCCCACACGGAGGGGCAGGAAAATTGTCAGAGTTGTTTGATCAAGAATTTCTTGGGGGTCTCTGTAGACCCAGACTGAGTCAATATGTCGATCATAGACAATCTCTCTCTCCATCCCCCCTCTCTTTATCTCTCTCTCTCTCTTTCTCTCTCTCTCTCTCTCTCTCTCTCTCTCTCTCTCTCTCTCTCTCTCTCTCTCTCTCTCTCTCTCACACAGAACAAATGTTTATACAGAAATCGTCCGAGCAAATAAAATAGGGGCATAGCTCTTTGGTCTTTAATCTTTCATTTTTTGGCGGACATTATTTTTATCTATTCATTACTATTTTTTTGCTTTTTAAAATTTTGATGGGTCAGCCGATCTGGTCCCATCAGCTTTGCTTCGCTGTGTGTTTGTGATGTAGCCTGCAAAGATGACTTGCTGCCTTACCTGAGAAAAGCCGGGTCTCATCATTATCACCATTATCTTCATTATCATCATCTTCAACATCAACATCGCTAACGTTATCACAGCCAATATGATTAGTGTTATTTATCCAGAAAGGCACGCAATTTAAGAAAAATTATTTATTTCCAAGGAATTTCCGCTCATCCCTCCCCCTTTTTTGGAACGACATAACAAGAACCACAATAATAATACATGTAATATCATTAACACGTGTTTTTACTTATTAATATAATTAAGCTTAGATCTACAGCTTACCAATCCTCGAAACCAAATCAAGACACAAGACACATGCACCCCCCCCCCCCAAACCAAATTTAAAAAAAATTTAAACAATTTAAAAAGCAACAAAAAAAAAAAAAAAAAAGAGCTGGGTCTCAACTCCGCGGCTCTAAGTCTAAGAGTATTGAAAAACCTGAAATAATCCAAACTTCCAAAATTACAAAACGAGCTTTACAGAAATACTTTGCCTTTTAATATGTGCAGCTTTCCTTACTTTTATCCCTAGTCTTGGAAACAACCCCTTTCCCTATGTTTTCCAACCTGGCTCTTACTGCTATAAAATAAATAATAATAATAATAATAATAAACTTTCTGTTTTTACTTTGACTTACCAACGCAAGCATCAGATGGTGGTACATTGATATCATTAAGGAGGGGTGGGGGGGGGGGGGGCGCTACACTTGAACTTGAAGGCTATCTCGCTTATCAGTGGACCAAATTTTACAAATATCACAAGCATAGTAAGGAGTCTTAATAATATCCCCGATCTAATTTGAGAAAAAAAGTTTCATTTCCATGGATACGGCGGCCTTATTGGGTTTTGTTGACATGTCTTACGTAATGAATACCGCACTTATAGTCCAAGGATATCGTTTTCTTTTTCTTTTCTTTTTTTTGTTGCGTGCATGTTAGAAAACAATAGATTTGTCGGTTGATTTTTTTCCTTAATGAATTAGAACATTTTTCATGAATCTTTTCAAGTTTGCAAAAAATCCGTGAAAATCCACACACCACCAACACAAATCTATTCCTCATCCAAAAAAAAATCAACACAAAAATTTTTAGTATTAGATCTAAATCTGCTCTTTATTCTGTGAAAATTTCATGAGGACTGGATGGAAATGGTGGAGTAGTTTAAAAAAGTATAGAGAAAAATCGCGTTTTGAGAAAACGGCCGATAAGATAAAGAAAAATAAAATATGAGGATATGGTTGTGCAAAACATGCCTGATGTTGGAAGAAATAAGGCTTTTTGGGGGGTTCGTATGCTATGGAATAGTTGTAGGAGAGGCTGAGGAAGCTAAAAATGCCTACAACTCAAGTCAAATTCCATAATTTTGAGCCGAATCTGGACTTTGGGGGTGTAGCCCCGCCCCCCCCCCCCCCCCCCCCCTTTAAGACAGGTGGCGAAGATGTGATGCAAAAGAACGATTTAGAGCGGATGTTTGCCCATCGTGGAACCGACCGACATGTCGTCCGTCTCTCGGAAATGGTTGAGGAAGTTAACATTTTTTACAACAGACCACCGATCTTTACCTCGTATGGGCCAAGTGCGATGTGCAAAAAGCGCTCGAGAAATTGATGTTGAACACTATAATTACAGGGGAGATAATCGGGATATAAGAAAGTACAACGAGTGAGAGGCTACGGCATGGGCTACGGTTACTCCCCTGGAAACATCACGAGCAAAGCGTGTCCAAGTCGTAAGCCGGATTATCGTGTGGTTCCGGATATCTCGCGCGCAATAGCAGGAGAAAAACTTGGGTGAAATCAGTCGAAATACCCGTTTAGATTAGTTTTGGTGAGGTTTTATGGAATTGCATTAAGGTCATATGAGCGCCAAGAGGTGGAAGTCAACAGAAAAGTCCAAACGAGGAATCAGGCTTACTCTGCTCACCTCTCTAGCCTCAACAGCACAAAGTCTGCTTTGATTATCAAGGCACCCCGGAAATAGCAGTTCACACGAAAGTGACAAACATACAAATGAAGTAGAGGAAAATGACGATAGCAAGGACGAGGAAAGAAAAAGCAGCAGTCCCCCTTATGTTGTTCCTGCACAGTATGAGCATGGCATTGATAAATCAGTGCATTTACAATTCTATTGTGCACAAGCACATGTTAATATCCCCCCTTTGGGAATGGCGTATAGACTGAAATATCGAAACTCTCCAAATTGAGACTTCAGCTGACACTATAAAATATGTCACACACGGGCATTTCAGGAGATGAATATTAGACCTATTGTTCACAGATCTTGAACATCTAGCTCTCACTGGCAAAATTGAAGGCAAGCGAGGCAGGAGTAGGCCCAGAGCAACCTTCTTAGAGAACCTAAACAGATAGGTAACGGGGGGAAGATCAGGATATTGTAGCCTTTTAAAAACATTTTAAGAGTATCCGAGCAGAGGAATGAATGGAGAACCATGATTGCCGATGTCTGCCGCAGATGATTATAGTGTTCCCAGATGGACCAAAAACTATTGATTTTTATTTTCAAGACCAGCAGTGTGTTTTTTGTTTGGTTTGGTTAAGATTTTACGGCGCTGGCAACTGCATAAGGTCATATGAGTGTCAACGGGTGGAGGTCAACAGAGAGGTCATTGCAGGGAATCAGGCTTACTCTGCTCACCTCTCTAGCTTCAACAGCACAAAGTACAAAGTCTGCTTCGACTATCAAGGCACCCCGGAAATTGCCAAGAGCGTGACAAACATACAAAAGAAGTAGAGGGAAAAATGGTGATAGTAAGGAATAGGAAAGAAAAAGCATCAGTTCCCTGTTGCAGTTCAGGCACTGTTATGAGCATGACATTTATGAATCAGCCCACTTAAAATTCCAATTCCGCAGTGCATAAGAAAGTTACTGTCTCCCCTTTGGGAAAGGCCTAAAGAAAATTCAGTAGCACTGCCCCGGGGGTAGTCTGTTTTAAATATCATCTCGCCTGAGGGCACTTTCTGTATCAATTACTAGGTCCACTTGTGGGCCAGACTGAAACTGCTAATAGACAGGATCTGCCTGCTTTACACAACTTGTCTCCCTTTGCAAACATCAAGTGCCAGAGATTAGAGGTGTTATTAGAGAGTAACATGTAAGGGACAGACAAAGAGAAGGAGAGGAAAGACGATGCATTTGCAAGGAAAGAAGAAGCAAACCACACCAGATTACCTGCACACCATCCACAGCAGAAGCCAATCCAATGGCACAAAGCCATCAATCAAAGTCTAGAGGAACTTATTGTAAACAAATTAAGGAGGGCAACCAGAAAGGAAGACAAAGAAAACTACAAAGAAATAGTCAAATACTCAAGATATTACGACCAAATGTACACCAACATGAAACTTCATCAAGGCATAAAAACGTGTTAACAAAGACTTGCAAAAAAAAACAAAAAACCTCCTGTAATTTTGAAACCTGAAAACAAAAGGAAAAAAGGCAAATACTTCTGGAAAGCAAATGAATTTATTGTAGATCTCAAACCATTTGCTATTTCATACAGTGATATTGACTGACATCTTTTCCAACAGTCCTTAACAAATATAAACATTGTTTTAGAAACTAGCTTGACGGTGGCATTTGCTTATACCGAACACTGTTAACTCACTCAGCCCTGACCCTGAGAAAGTCGGGTTGCGCACTTCTGCACAGGGCCCTGAACCCGACAGTATCGGTAATTTCTACTGCTAAATAATGTAAACACACATCCAATGAGAACAGACTATACTCTATACGTGACCCAAGGCTATTTCTTTATAAGAATCAGACTATTACCAGGGCAAAAGTTGCATGCTTGACCAATAATTGAAAATAACTTAGCACGTGGTAATGAAGTGGAATATGTGAACAAGTCTTGGTCTTTCTCCTGAGCTACTTTTTAGTACCTGTTGCTGACCTTTTTCAAATGGCAATATCTCAGTCTATCAAATGTTTTCAAATTCAGAAAAACGGACATAGATTATGTAATAACTAAACAAATTGTGAGTGAAATATTACAGCAGCGATTTGATTTAGTATTTTTTTCTGATTTTACAAATATGCCTAAAACCTCTAGGTACAGCCAGCAGACTGGATCTTGGGCCCCAGGGCTGAGTGAGTTAATCCGAAAACAGTGAACAGACAGAAAATAAAGTCCCCGATGTTCATAGGTCTATTTGATCAACTTCTCTGAAATGAAAGCCCAGATTTAAATGAAGAAAATTTGGCGCTCGCACAGATTTCTGTTGAAGTGGATTCCACAGCATGTTGCAGCAGTCATACATTTTTTTGTATTTACATTGTACTCTGAACAAATTAAATACTTGCATGCCCATACTATTATATCAGTTCACAAGTATGTATCCCCTGACCATTTCAGCCACACCTTTCAAAGCATCCAAAAAACATACTAAAGACAGTACTTTTGACTGAAGCAAGAGTATCATGTACCAACATTTCAGAAAATGTGCGAGCTTACTTACTTGTCCATACAAATCATGAAGCCATACACAAAACATACAGCCTGAACAAGTACAAACTTAAAATAACAAAACTAATGTCCAAAACTTGATACTTAAAACAATGACACATTGGTAATATTCAATAGGACTAAACTGTCACTATTATTAATATTAAAGTCTATAATATGACGTCTTGATGAAGGTTGCCGTATACCACTTCCGTGCGAAGTCAATGTCTTGTATGCACTTACCACACATTCATCAGACAAAATGAACAATAGGATTGTGACAAACAAACTCCCATTCAATATCTCAAAGTATCCACATCATCCAGTAGTGCATCAGAATGTTCATCCAGGTAAATACAGTAAAATCTGTTCTAAAAACCACCTGTCCAAGACAATCACCTGCACATATGATCGCTTCCCACCAGTCCCTTGTACATTATAATGACACTGGGCAAGGCGTGTACCCGTCTGCAGAGACTACTTTTCTCCTTGACAATGGTCTTTCGACAATTTTGACAGTACTCTTACCAGAAACTTTGAAAACATCGAAACCACCTGGTCGATATAAGTTTTGAATTCCAAGTAGATTCACATCCATTCTTTCACACAAGTCACTGGAGGGTACCACTAGTAGTTCCCTCTTTCTGTTCTTTCTCTTTATTTCTTCTGTCTGTGTGTCTGTCAGTCTGTTTTGCCTTTTCCCTGAAGTAAATGACCACTACAGTACTACTGTATCAATGTGATTTTCTTTACTCAAGTTTTACTCCAGTAAGCAAACAGACAAATCATTATTTGTTTCAGCAGAAGACAAGACCATGTGCAGCAAGACAGTGTAGGTGACGTTACCTCAAGAAACACTGACAGCAACAGCCAAGTCAACGTAGCCCATCATTTAAAGAAAGTCGAACAATAAATCACAGTAGTAGTTGAAAATAATACAAAAAGTCGTCACTGAGTGGCATATTCTGACATCATTCACACAGCCAAAACACATTTATGAGGCGTGCTGACAAAATGATTTAGGCCTACTTCTCGGATTTTAGCTCGATGGAAGTCAAATCTATTGGGGTGGGTTTTTACAATTAATTAGAATGAAATGATGAAAGACATGTTTAACTTTTTAAAAATGGCATCGGTTAAAAATCTCAAATTTTTACTTGGGTCTATTTTTGGCCTGTATGTCCATTTGTGGATTGCAAAAAGTAACTCATTTTGTCAGACTGCCTCACATTTACGCCACAAACACTTATCACGACATGAACTATAGGAAAAGAGAGGATGTCACGAACTACTTTCCTCCGGCTCTATGTTAAAGTAATATTTGATGACATCAGGGAAGGTCTCCAACTTATCCGTCATTTTTCCGAGCGCCGTCAAGAATTCTTGTGACACTGGCACCATCAGATTGGGGATATAGGTACGTTCGCCAGAGTTCACGGTGAGCCCGCTGTCCTCCAGGACTTTTTGCACTTTGAAAACATCATGAGGACTGCACAGAAACTGAGGAAATGGATGAAAAACATGTATCCATTTAAGTTTTTTTATTTTTAGTATGATTTTTACAAGAATTTACAAAGCAAATAGGTCCTACAAGTGCTGAAGATTACTGGGGTCAGTACAGAGTTAATAGACAAAGAAAAGAAGGAGGACAGATAGGGACGATAGATGTTTGATAGGAAAGAAGGGGTAACCCACACCAAAGCACCCACCAACCACCTGCAATATCATGTATGGGTTTACAGATGATGACATATCAAAATCAGAAACATGAACAAAACAATGGACATTGACTATCTTTCATCAAGATTTTCCTGAAAGAAGTGTGAAAGTTTTAAACACCAATGTACGAAATCTCTAATCCAATCTCAATAAACATACTGAAAGTGAAAGTGAAAGGGTAGCGTTGAATGGTGTAAGGGACAAAATTAAAGCATTCAAGAATACAAAACTTGTATGACATGAACGATTTCTCTTCTCAAATCTCAGCAACTGTTTTGTTTTCAAGTTTTATTTTTGGTAGGAACTTTAAACATTTGACACTGAGAGCGGCACTGCGTGGAGTCTAGCGATTCGCACCTAGAATAGCCTTTCAATTGCCGAACACACGACACTGCCATGGTAAGCAGTTCTATGAGGTTCAGGAAGAATGTCTGATTAGAATAGTCTAAAAACAAGGCTATGAAGCGAAAGAGTAGTTGATCTTTATTCTTTCAGCTTTTTAATGATTGAAATTGACCCAGAAATAGCACATATGACTTTTTAAGGTATATTTGACGATATGGAGGGTGCAATGGAGTTGAAACTTGGACAAATCCAAGGAAACCTTGAAATAAAAAAATCAGCTGGTGAAGTGATCTCCACCGAACAAAGACACATTGAAATTTACTTCTTAGGGTAAATAGAAATAATTAATTAATTAATAAAAATAAAAATACTTCGACTTTGAAATTGAAACAAGGAACAAACTGCACCAGAGCACCCACTAAGCCATCACAACAATACACACCTGAAGATAAGGTGTCTCACTTTCCGTCTCTAACGTGACATCCTCTGCCCCAGCCTCTATTGCCATGTCGACATACTTGTCCAGGTTGAAGTTATCTGGGTCAGACTGGGCAGTGGTTAGTTCTTCCTCCGGAACATCCACCTCAATAACTCCCTTGTGGTCAAACAAGTCTGCTCCTGAATTATGCAGGTTAAACCTAGAGAGAGAAACAATCATAAGTAAATAATAAAAAGGGAATTACAAAAATGACTCTGGCATATCCAAGGAGAATAAACATCCTGGCCACAACAAGAAGAGCACAGCCACAGAAAATATTTTACAAAAACCTATAATTTCTGATGACAAAAAAAAAAGTGTTACTACACATTTTTTAAACTGAGAATCTAATTGAAAATGATTTGCTGGTAGCTGGAATAAGCTGTAAATATAATGTCTGTATATTTTCCATCAATAGTCTAGATAAACGTACCACCAGCACATTAGATAGAAATACAATCCTACAAAAATGAATAAAACAAATTTGAATTTTGATACTATAGTTAACCATACTTTAATTTTTGTTGTCAAAGAGATTTTACGGATGACAAAAAAGTCCTTGAACCCTGTTCATGCGACTAAAGCTTTGACAGCCACTTTCTCGCTAATTTTACATTTGTGTCACGACGTGGTAGATTCAAGCGTTCGAAAATTTGTGGGCAAATTGGGTTATTGGTATCATCTTACAGCCAGTTCATTTGCCTTCTTTTTGGTGAAAAAAATATTCATCTATGATGAATGGAAGTCCCGTGAGTTTTTTGTTTTTTTATATTTAGGTTTTTTCTAATAGGCCTAGGCCTATGTATTAATAGGCCTAGGCCTATGTATTAAATATTAATTTGGCACATGAAAAATCAAAGTCATTACTTTCTGAGTTCAAAGCTTTCATCATTCAGTCAGTTCCACAGAACTCATGAAAAAGCACATTGTACATTCACAACAAATAGTATCAGACAGTAGTTACCCATATTTTTTCACAATGCCCTGCAACAGCCCTTTAGTGTGGTGGGGTTTCAATGAGAAACACTCGATCACGATGCCCGTGTTTCCTGGCCCACGCCCGTCAAATGTTGTGATAGAGTTTGGGTCTCTTAACTTTACCTGGAAAGGAAACAGGAAAACATTTGTGAGACATCATGGTGAGATCAGGCGCTCATCAAAGTAATGTAATTGAAGAAATCTGCATCTTTCCAACGGTTTGGCAAATTTTATCAAAATTTGGGGGTTTTTTGGCTCACATTTGTGTGGATTTTACTGAAAAACGTAGATTGAACACACAAAATTTGTAAACTTCCAGTTTCAGAGGACTTTCAAACTTGGAAATCACCAAACTTTGGCGACCATTTTCTCGAGATTTTACCTCTGAAACGAGCTTTCAATCGCAATTACTATCTCGCTAGCAGTATTGCATACAGACATATCTTAAAGGCCGTCAAAAATGACTTACATCTGTATGCAATACTGCCCGCGATCTTGACTTCTCTTCATGACAGATGGATATTTTCTTCACAGAAATCAAGGCAAATGGACAAGCTTTCAGATGATACCAATAACTCTGCATGCCCAAAACTTGTCAAGCACCTGATTCCACTGTGTCGTAACAAATTTCAAACTGAGGTACCAACTGGCTATGACAAAAAATCAGAAACTTTTAGGAACCTTTCAGTAAGCACAAAAGCTCAAATTTTACAGATTTTGTAAATCAAGACTAAATTTATAGAAAGTGGAACATGACAAGCACAAAGAGAGATTAATTATGTTGTAATAGATTCCTGTTTATACCTGTATAAGTATATATGTATAAAGAGGAACATATGACAACAGACAAGAAAAAAAATACACACAAAGGTTTAATCAAGTTCACAATGATTGGCTTCAAGTCAGGCTATTATTATCCACAGCTTTCAGAGACAGAAAAGTTCCTCTGAACTCAGTTATTTACTTTAACCTGGGCACTGAGCATTAAATAACTGAAACATTTTTTTTAAAAAAAGGTATATAGAAGACTTTGACTACAGTTATGGACATGGCAGAGTAACCCTGTAGCAAAGTTCTACAATCACACTGCAGGATTTCACAACTAATTAATTTGCAAAAAATAAAGAAATAAAGAAAATAAATAAAACCAGTCGTGCAGAGCTGGTGGATTAGTGTGTTCATTAAAAAAAAATTCCTGGAGTAATTTGTAGAGATATTCAGGATATTTATTAATGCACGTTTATGTCAGTGCTACCATCCTGCACTATACCACTCATCAGTGGGCGACTTGATAATTTTAGTAGGTGATGATCTTCACCCAAGTAAGTTTTTTAATTTAACGTTCCATTTGAAAACACATGAAGGTGGGTAGCATGATAATTTTAGCCTCTTGAAAGGGGAAAAAGTGGACGCTTGCTATAAAAAGAGGCTTTGATAAAAAAGGTCAGCAAGCACGGAGTTTGATCATTGTAGGCCTACACAGTTAAAAAGGGGAAAAAGGAAAGGGTCGGGGTGGGAACTGCATTACTCCTCATATGAAACAAAAAGGGATCTGTCAAGTTTCCCTCCATAGAACATCTTACAGCAGTAATAAGACGACAGTGCCTTTGATCAAAAAGGTCATGTTGGACCACATAGTGCCAGAACTCACCACTCTGTCTACTGTCTTCTCAATCAAATCGTTTGGTATGTTGTTCGCTCTGGCTGATTTGATAAGAGCTGCAAGTCCAGTGTTCAACTTGGGATCTGTTTCAGGGTTCTGAACTGGAGACAAAAGAGAAACTTTCCAATCAACAAGTGTCACTGAAGTTATCAGTGGATAAATTGCAACCTGCAATATATTTTGCGACAAGGAGAAAACATATTTTAATATTTGAGCTTCAAATACAATCCTACATACACACAGTACATGCTATTGTCTTTAAAAACTTGAGCACGTGCAATTATGCCACCTCAATTGACATTGCTTTAGCATGCTCTTATCTGCAGCATAAGGCATGGTATTTTTCCCACATATCAAGTGTGCATGAAATTAGTACCAAACATTGACATTGAATTTAGTTCAAAGCGTGCATTTTAAATAGTAAAGTCGATGGAAAATATGAAGAAACATTCTGACACATTGTGAAGATTAGTCCCAACTGCTGGGTAAAAATAAGATAATTCAGCATACAGGCTGTCGTCTTTACAAAGAAGAAAAAAAAGAAGACATTTTATATAATGCGAAGTCATATACTCTGATGTTAAACGTAACAATCATTTTTATTCATGCCCGTTGTGAAACAATAATGATAACTGACTTGTATAGAGCCATTTCGAGTCAGGATCATGTCTTCAATAATTCTGAACACTTACTAAGACAATGCTGAATTCTCTTGGAAAGATCTTGGCCTACAGCAGCCTTAGCCTTGTCTTGGGCAGCCTTGACGTGCTTGATGTTTGCCCACTTGCTGTGGCCAGCTCCCACGACGGTAGAAGTGTGAAGCAAACAGGAATTGCATCTGGGGGCTTGACACCCTGACGGACTCTGTCTCTTCCATGAGAAATGTGATGCTCCTACAACAGCTGAACTGTGCGGCACGGGGTGAACAACTTTGAGAAAGCTTTTGCTGAAAGCTGCCAACTGCACTCTTCGCATAGCCATTATTTGGAAAAAAAACACCACAAACTTTCTGCCACGTCTGAGGACAAAAAACTAAAAACAATAAGATAATGCACCATCAGAAGAGTTTACAACTGATTTCTGTTTTGGTGCTAATTCATTTCTATTTTAATGAGTAATTTACATTTTAAAAATGCAACATGGCCTGGCTTAATGATTAGGTGTCAGATTCCAATTAATGTCAGGCATATTTTTGAGATGCACAAAATTGACAGAGAGGTCGAACATTTGAAGAACATTTATAAATCATCTGAGGAGCTGCATGTATTAAGAAAAAAGAAAAATTAGTTATTTGTTATGTTGTTATCGATCCAGAAGAAAAATGAGTAAAATATGTCATCTGATCAATAGTAAGTACACTGCTTTACTAGTAACTAGCTTAATTTTATCAATACTCGATTATTGTAACTCCTTGTTATCAGGAATATCACAGGAGAAAGTTAAGACTTCAAACTGTCCAAACCAATGCTGAATGTATAGTTTTACGGAAAAGAAAGCGAGACTCTGCTAAACCTCTTTTACGGACATTGCATTGGCTTCCTGTTGAGAAACGAATTGTGTACAAGTTGGCCACCCTTAGTCACAAATGTTTGAACGATAATGCACCATCATATTTATGAAATCTAAGGTCATCAGCTGACAAAAAGAAATTTATTTTACCGTCTATGAAACTTAAAACAATGGGTAAAAGGGCATTTGAATACCAAGGCCCCAAGATCTGGAATGCTTTACCAAGTACTTTAAGAGAGATCAAATCTTTTGATTCATTCAAATGTCAGCTGAAGTCGTTTCTGCTTTTAAATTAATAAGATGAATATTTGGAGTAATTTTCTTTCAGAACACGTTTCATGTTACTGTTGTACGTTGTACTGTATTGTAAAACGCTCAGAGCCTGTGTATTTTAATCGGGGTTGAGCGCTATATAAATGTCATTTATTATTATTGGTTCTGAGAGAGTATATCCATGCTTATCATGCTTTCCCTCAAGAAATTATAGTTTTCAACTTTCGCTCATCCTTTCCTCACTCCAAATTAAGGGGGAAAGGGCATTGGCACGCGCCTTGATTACACTACGTAAGTAAGTCTGGGAGACATGCAGTGACACTTTCCGCCCTCACCATGCTGTAACTATTCTTCCCAATCTGTCGCCTGACAATTCAGCAAGGATCTCATTTTAAAAAAAAATTTTTTGTAGAAGTTTTACGGCACTCGCAACTATAAGGTCATATGAGCGCCAGAAGATTAGACGTGTTACAAGAGAGTAACTAACATAAAAAAGAAGAAGGGGAGATAAGAACGATAGATGTTCGATAGGAAAAAAGAAGCAAACCACACCAGAGCACCCGCCAACCACCCACAAGGATCTCAGAAAGGGAATCTACAAACACTTTATGTTAAATATCATAAACATTTTATTCCACTAGCCTGATAAAAAAAGAGAATTCTATAATTTGACAAAATTTACTGCTTCTTATTTACAGACGGATGGAAAAAGCATGGCTATGTGATGCAATGTCATAGCACAGAAAGAACTTAACTTTCACATCACCTGACTGCACTGTCCCTGAACAAAATATCCAGCATTTTTTAAACTTTTCCTCACATTTCACACTTTATCTACTCTGGGTCCATTTTTTACATTTATATATTGATGCACTGAACATGAATATCGACTTCAGTTCCGTCGCAAATTAATAGTTAAAATAAAAATATTTGATGGTTTTTAAAGGATGAACTAATCTAATAGGCCTACTTTTTCTACGTTAGCCTATTATAAAGAAGCCTTTAAACAGCATAGTAATTTCCATGCTGTGGACTAACAGGGGGTTTCAGGGGGGGCATGCCCCCCCCCACCTGTTTTAACCCATACTTTATCATTTCATTGAAGACAAAATTTAAAATACATAGATAATAATAGCATTATTTTGGCTGTATTGACATATATATATATATGATCGTTTATAAAGTTCAGAGAGATATGAAAACAAACAAAAATATTCCACGAAACTTAAAAAGCTTCCAAACAAAACGTCTTTCGAAGAATTCTACCAAATAAAATGGAATTCATTTATTACAAATAATGAAGGGCTGGAAAGAGCTGGAATTGAAGACATCAATCAACACAACCATAAACTTTTCAGGAGAAGATGGAGACCTTTGACATTTTCTAAGAATGTCGAAGATAAGATTGCCCTATCAGATATGGTATTGGAAACCAACAGGAAAAAGAGAACGAGGAAGACCAACTGGAAGGGATATGAGGCAATCGCCCAGGGTCTGGATTTGCCGAAATTGGAATGTGGCCAGGGTACAGATGGGTCAGGCTCACTAAATCAGCGTCCGTGAGTAACGAACAGTTCGCTGGAACTACCCGCAAACGAGCTTGTGAAGATTTGCTCGCTACTCATTACACATCGGACACAGAAACAACAGTTCGTTTAGCGAGCGAGCGAGTGAATGGAGAGACAACATGCATTCAAGCGGGCGGACGGACCGGCAGGGGTAAAAGGTTCACACATAGTACTAGGTCAATACCCTCTCTCACTCGCTGTGGTACCGCTAGTGGCTTGAAACACTAGGAAGACTAGGTCTTTAAACTAACAAAAAACGATAGACAAAGGGCTTTAAACCTCACATCGAGTAGGAGGGTCTTGAACATCCAGATCTAAAAATCTAGATCTAGCTCTCACACAGGCAAAATTGAAGGCAAACAAGGCAGGGGTAGGCCCAGAGGAACCCACTTAGGGAACCTAAACAAATGGGTAACAGAAAGATTAGGGAAAAGTAGAATCCGAGCAAAGGAATGAATGAACGGAGAACCATGATCGCTGATTCTGTCGCAGATCTGTTGCTGGATGAAGATTTACCTGGAAGATTCCTTTTCAGAATAAATTAGATCTAAAATCTAGATATATGTTGAAGCCCCCATCTATACAATTCAGATCATTCAGAAGGAAGGCTTCGATCCTGCCTTCCAATGCCAGGGCCAACCTAGAATCTAGAGATATCTAGATCTAGTCTGATACAAGAGGGCAGGGACAACAAAAGGAGGCCACAACAAAACAACGTCCCAGCAGCCAGAAAAACAAGAAAGTAGACCGAGAATGCCGAGATGCCGGTGCTCGATAGCAGTCGAGCCTCTGACAGACCTAAATCTCTATATCAAGCATTCAAAACGTTAACAAAATACGAATCAAGATATAGAATCGAGACATTACAGGGTCAGTTACCTTTCTTCTTTAGAGATCTTGTTTATTATGCTAACAATACGACCGGCTCACTTCGTCTCATTGAGACAGCATTGGCAATGACATCGGTCAGAAACAAAAGTTCAGCTGTGAAGAGCAATGAGAGTTACACAACCTGTTGAAGCTCTTCAATGTTTCCTCAACATTTCTTTTCAACGCATGCGCCAAGGGGCAAAATGGCTGCCTCAAAGATGGAGAGGCAAACAATAACAAAAGGGATGCACCTGACAGTCTTGGTGGAATACTGCATTGATAATATAATAGCTGTCTTTCTCATGCATAATGACCAAGAGTATAGAGGTGTCCTAATGCAATGCGAGAAAAGGTAACAGCGCTTCTGTAGAAACGGAGGAGTTTTAGATCTAATCTATAGCAATAAGAAAGGCACGCAAAATAGGGGCCTTGCCCAAAACTAAAACTGGAGGACTGGAGGAAAAAGCGAGCTCTATTACAATAGACTAGAATGTAGTAGGCCTGCTCTAGATGTAGATCTAGTGCTCTATAAACTCTTTCTCCTCAAGGTCTTGTTGGTGCTATATCTCAGTAATCTAATGCGGAGGAAAATGAACTGCTTCTCTTCATAGCCTTTTGTTTTAGAAAGCCCAATCTATTCTATTCTCACCCCAGGTGAGAATAGCGCAGGCGAGTCTTATTTTGGCTATTCTCACCCGGTGTGCGTTCACCGTTATAGCCTAGATCTAGGCCAACCAATTTTGCATTCACCCTGAACCACAGAATTCTACACTGTGATAACAGAAAAATTGTAGAATTCTGTGCCTTGAACAAACGTTCCATTACTAGATCTAGATCTAGATCTAGATCTAGATATCTAGATCTAGATCTAGATCTAGATCTAGATCTAGAGATTCTAAGTGTTAAAGACCTAAAAGTGTGTGTGTACAATTTTGTCTGTGGGCAGTGGAGAGAGAAAGAGAGAGAGAGAAGATTAGCGTAAGAACTTCCGGGCAAAACAAAATGGCGACCCGTGTGTGTAGTTCGGCTCGATTTGAAAAGTTAAACGCACCCGAAAGTTAAATAGCTGTAGTATCTTTGTAAACGACCAAATTAATTTACTTTTTGTGTGTTTTAACATCATTTTTAAACTTTGTTTTGGTCAATTTGATCGTCCACACCGATAGACAGTATTCAGAAAGAGACAGAGAGAGAGAAGAGGGGAGGAGTTGATCTTGCGAGAACTTCCGGGCAAAACAATATATGGCGACTCACTTTTAGTTCGGCTCGATTCGAAAAGTGAAAAAGCCATGTAGTATAGCATCTTTGTAGACGATCAAATTAGCTTACTTTTGTGCTATAACGTAATTTTTTCTTTGCTTTTATCCATTTGATCATCCACACCGATAGAAAGTTTTCCGAAATTAGGCCTGAAAAACATGTCTTGTTTCACACCGGGTGAGAATAGCCAACGGTGGCAAGTCTCACCCGCGGTGAGAGGTGGATCGTATTTTTATTCTCACCCCAGGTGAGGATAGCCACTTCCTTTAGAAAAGTAGGCCTTCGATTGGGATCCATTAATAGAGATGGGAAGTAACTGTAAAGGCCGGCTCTATTTCTCCGAACGTTCGGGAAAATACTCGAGAACTATTTCTCCGAACGTTCGGGAAAATACTCGAGAACTATTTCTCCGAACGGTTTCTGTTCTCGAGATTTGTTGATAATAAAAGCGAATGGAGTGGCCCGTGTGTGTGTGTGTGTGTGTAAAGTGTGAACGGGGGGGGCGTGGAGGGATTTTTTTTTACGAAGGATTTTAGTTTTTGCTGGGTGACTAAACATGCAAAATAGGCCATGATGCCATTAAACCTAGAAATGACGCTTATTTCTGATTGGCTGCTAATATTAGTAGCCTACTGTGATGTCATCACTCTCTGGGATACCCACGTGATGGAACAACGTGTTTTCGGTAACATTTTGGATTTCCTAGGTCTAGAATCTAGATCTACCCCTCCCCCCTCCTGCATTCTTCATATATCAACATTTAAAAAAAAAAACAACTTCAAAGCAGCTCTACAAATTATAATTTATGGGACTGTTGGTCAGTCGGGAGGAGGAGAAAAGTTCAGAAAAAAAAAAAAACTGACCGGGACCGGGATCGAACCGCTCCTAAAATCATTGCATGACTTCAAACGCAGACGCGCTGTCTATTCAGCCATCAGAACTTCCGAGAGCGAGGTGTAGATTAAGCATAGAAACTTCCATCTTTGGTTGCCTGCGGTTGGCTATACTTAGATGTAGTCATGTGATCGGAGGGGTATCCTAGTCTGACGTCAAACAAGATGGGCATCCTACCTAAAAATAGTTTGCGTCTTTCTACATTTAATCGCATGTCAAAATAGGTAACTGCCAAGGTCGAGCAGTCTTACATTTTCTCGCAGTACCTTTTGGAGGTATTTTCAAACGAAGTGGCTGCTAGCCGTACTTAGATCTCTAGGTTTGGCCTTGAAACCTGTTGAGTACACAGGTCTCTTTAGATCTCTAGATCTAGATCTAGTAATTAATTCAGGCTTCAAATTTATGCTAGTCAGTAAGGCACTTTTGGGTTTTGTCTGAAATACAAATACTTTCTACTAGGAATTGCAAACTAAAAATTTCATTTGCAATTCTGCCATCATTAAATTAAGTACGGCTAGCCTGATAGTCTGGCCGTCCTTAAGTACGGCTAGCCTAGCCGTCTAGCCGTACCGTCTAAGCAGTCAAGCCGTACTTAGGTGTACGGTTAGCCTGCCAGTCTAGCCGTACTTTTATCTTACAAGGCCCTAGTAACAAAAAAGAGGCTAAAACAGCACCTGGACATGGATGGCTGGTGCCTCTATAAAAATAAATCATTGATGGTCAGGTCAGGCCCTAGTACAAACAGGTCTCTTTAGTAATTATTCAGGTTTAAAATACATGCACTGTCAGTAAGGCACCTGGTTTTGTCTCAAATACAAATACTTTAGTACCTCAAACTAAAAATGTATAAAATTTACAATTCAGTAGGCCTATTTTTTGTTTGTTTGTCAGTCTAGCCATCATATAAGTAAGGCTAGCCCAAATGTCTAGCCGTGCTTAAGTACGGCTAGCCTCTTCCATTTTCAAATGAAGTATGTCAGGGAATGTTGCCCCAACCACGACTGAAGTTTCTAAATATTCAGACATTTAAAAATCTCTATCTCTAAAAATTGAATTTGATGAAAAAAATGCTGCTTCCCAGTCCTGGTAGAATGAAAGGATGACGCCTAAATCTTGCAAATAACCCAAAAAATCTGATGGAGATCAGACACCGTTCGGAGAAATAGAGTTCAGCTTTATTTTCCCGAGCGTTCGGAGAAACTGTCACTTAAAAAAGTAAAGGCCACCCAAGAATAGCGCATGCGAGCCTTTTGGCTTCTATTCTCACCCGGTGTGTGTTCACCGTGATAGGCCAACCAGTGTAGCGTTCATCGTGAACAAACGTGTTGGCGCTCTTGTGTTGAAAGCGGGCAATTTTGTCTCTGGGCAGTGAGAGAGAAGAGGAGTGGCGAGAACTTGGACGGGCAAATCAAAATTGCGACCTGTGTAGTTCGGCTTGATTTGAAAAGTGAAATAGCCGTGGCATCTTTGTAGACGACCAAATTAATTTAGGCTACTTAAATTGGGCTATAGAGTCTTGAACATCATTTTTTTTTCTTTGTTTTTGTCAATTTGATCGTTCACACCGGCAGTATTCAGTATCACACCTCATTGATTAGCCCCCCGACTTTTTCACTTTATTCATTGTAAAAAAAACTACATCTGGTCTGTGTTGGGTTGCCTTTCCTGAAACAGTGCTGTAAATTAAGCTTTTAAGCCTACCTTACAGTGTTGGAAGTTTTGATGGCCGAATGGACAGCGTGTTTGCGTTTGAAATCATACGATTATTTTGTGAGCATGGGAACGAATCCCGGTCCCGGAAGGTTTTCCTTGGTCTGTGAGTCTCATTATTGTTTTGTTTTTTTATTATAGGCTCAGAGAGGCCAAATTTTAGCTCTCTTATATTACAAATTTTCTTCAGCTTCCGGGGGGCTCGTGCGGGCCCCCAGACCCCTGCCAATTGTTCCTCCTGCCAATTATTATTCGCCCTGGTTGGTGGTCTGGTTGCAAATTATTGGTCAGTTGGGAGGAGGAGAAGAAGAAAAAAAAAAAATTTCCGGGACCGGGATTCGATGCCACGCTTGGAAGCACTGAACTTTAAAGAACGTAGACAGCATGTATGTTACGTTCTCTAACGTTAGAGAACATAGACACTACCTCGTGGAAAATCTTTGATTGCACGGCACTTTGGTGCAATGTCTTTCTAGGAATACCAGTAATGTGATATTATGATGTGGTGCTCCGATGATGCTGCTGCTTTTATCTCTTCTGCACATTGTTTATGGGGGAGGTGGGAGGTTAATCTTCCGGCGTCTTTACGGCAATTTTCGCGCGTTTATTGTCTTTACGTTTACGGTGTTTAAATTTCAAGCATCACTATTGAATTTCCTAAATGTTATTAAATTAACATACCGAAAACCTTGAACCAAACAGTAAAGCGTGGCTAACGGGCTGCAGTTAGCCGCAAGTGTGAAATTTTACCATGTGAAACACGTCGATATGGATAATGCGTCAAGCCACTGATCCGACATGTCGTTCCAACGGTATCTCCAAAGATTCTCTGCTGCACGATCTTTGGTATCTCCGTGGCCTTCTAAAAATAGTCTGTTGATATATCCCAGGATGTGATGACATCACATAAAATTACTAAAATTAGTCGCCAATCAGGCAGGTGCGTCGTTCTACGTTTAGCTGCATTTGCTTTATTGGGACTCGATTCCGATTAGATTTTTTATCTCTAGATCTAGATTCTAGATCTATTCGGACTGAAAGTCCGAAAATGGGTTATCTATTCGGACTCAGCTTCTAAGTGAGTTTCATTTGAGTGTAAGGAGGTTACATATAACTGTCGTTGGGGGATTTTACGCATAACTAGAATTAGAACTTGATTTTTAGATTCTAGAATTACCTATCAGGACTGCAATTGTGTCAAAAGTAAAAAAAAACTGCACTCTCATTGCCCATTGACAGTGACAGTGTCTACGTACACGGTAACCGACAACTCAAGGTCTTTCAACCACCACTACAGCATCATCATTACTTCCATCACCATTTGTTTTCCTCATATTTAATTTAATTTTGTTGTGTGTTATAGTTTTTCTGTAATTAATTTTTGTTTTAAATCACATCGCACAAAATCGACAGCCATGGCCTCTTCCCGACACCTCTTCCCCCAGAAAGCTGAGAGTGCGTGATCGCTATGCGCAATGTCATTGGTCGATAAATTAACGTTGCCCCCAGCTTTAACTGTAACACTGGTTAAGTAAAGAAAGGGTACACATTAGTGCCCAGTAAGTGTCAATGTTTTGAGTACCCCACTACAGCACATTTTTCACTTGTTCCTGTGTTTTCTCTCTCCGAGTCTGAAGCTGCTAGTACTGACATTATAAATTCTGCTTAAATTTTTCTCTCACCAATAATACAAAAACTGTGTTTGGAAACACAAAACGCGGTCTATTTGACAGCCGTGCCCCCCCCCCCCCCCCCCCCCCCAATCTCCTTGCATTTTTAGCCTGACATTATCGTGTGCCATCATAAAGCTTTAATTAAACCTTTAAGTGTTGATTGGTTCAAATATTTGAACCCCAAAATTTATTTATGTATGGTTATTTTTGTTTTTTGATTTTTATGTTTATATGGGTTCAAATGATTATTACAGATTTCCTTGAAAATTATTACTTTTATAACATCAGTCATGTCAGTGCTGAGTCAAAATCTTTACGCCAGTACTTTGTGCTGTGGGCACCAGAGGATTAAATGCAATGTTTGTCACTACTCAGTACTCCCGAGTTACTGACTGTTGGCCCTCCGTACCCACTTGATCAGAATGCTATCATATTTGCCATTGTGCTTTCCTTATTGAACCTGGGATTTGGGGGCTATTGATAGCTGAGACTCAGTTTATTGATGGGCCGCGGTAGGGCGTATTTAATTATTATCAGCAGCCACTGGACAGTAGGCAGCAATTGATGTATTGATTTAAGTATTTGAATTTCGCTTATAATTCTTTAATCTTTGCTTCAGATTCTTTCCTGAGGATGAACCAACCAATGGAAGACTTCCAATTTCAACAAGTTTAAAAGTTGAACATTGTGCGAAACTGTGCAATTTTTCTGAGCTGAACCCAGAGCAACAGAAGCAAGATGTGAAAGACCCCAAGAAAGAGCTGTCTGCATCTGTTCTAAGATTCTCATATTCTAGTAACCCTTTCCTCATCAACCCGAGGCCTGAGCCAGAAATTCCGACAGTTGAAATGAAACCAGTGACTCACAGGAAGAAAACTATACGGGACATTCGGCTCCGCCCTAGACAAACATTATGCACACGCTGTAAGACAGCCATTCACGATTCACACAAGGGGCAAGGGGCTGAACACTCCAAACACTCCCATGAACCTTTAAAACTAATACCTGCCAGCCGCTCGCCTTTAAAACAGAGTTTAGATCCGTGTCCTCCTCCATCCTTAAGACCGGGCTTGAGAAAGAGGAAAGGAAGCTTACAAACGCCAATGGTGTTGTTGGAGGACATTCATGGGAAAATGAATGGGTCCACTGGCACCGACAAAAAGGTAAAAATGCATCATGTCTCACAGCCTAATCACCGGCAGTTGATTGAAGGGAGAAGTGGGAGTGGCAGCAGGCAGCAGACACAGTTTAATAACTCGATAAATTCAGGACCAGCCAAGGTCAAGTCAGCCACTCGCTCAGCCAGTTCGGGCAGCATAAACAGTAGCAGTAGCACCTCTCTCAACGATGGGCAGAGCAACGGTCAGACGTCCGAGTCTACCTGCAAGCTACTGCGGACCTGCCTTAAGTCTGTGAGAAAAGAGAAAGCCACAACCTCCACATCTACATCCACCATGACCACCACCTCGGACCCCGTTCCTTCTTTCACTCACAAACCCACCCCGGCCATAAAGATTACTATTGGAGATGGAGACATTCTGAAAATTCCTCCACGACTTCCAAGCACATCGGAGGCTGAGACTAATAAACTGGAATCGACTGTGACAAGGATTAAGCTGTCGAACATATCACCAGCACTGGACCATCAAGCTCATAAGAAAGCGAAAAAGGCAGCTAAAAAGGCGAGAGATAGAGAGAAGGATCGAGGGTCAAAGGATGAAGATATGGTGACAAACTTGAAGAATGCCGACCAGCCATTTTTAAGGGTTCAAAAGAAACACAAGAAAAAGCACAGACATAAACATGACAGTCCTATCCACACAGCCTTGGACATGGATGAGAGGGAGAAGCAAAGTGTGGATAAAGATGTAGAGGAAATGTGCCTAGCGTGGATGGAGGGAGGAGAGACGGAGGATCCTGTTACAGAGCATGAGGTCAAGGACACTGTATTTAATAGTGAGAACAATCTTCCGATGCGCGAGCCGGAGGAAAAACCTCGGCCTCGGTTGGTGTACACGTGGAGACAGAATCAGGGTTTGTCTCGTGTGGCCCCGTCTCCAAAACCTCTTTCACCAAAAGTCTCTCCAACTTATTTTATTAAATCATCCCCGAGCATCATCTCTGTGTCAAACTCTCCACATAGGAGGAAAAACGCGTCTCCAGCGAGAGTTGTGGGCGCCTCCCCCAGCTGGGCCTTTTCAGGCTCCCCAGCCCACCTCCTAAAAGACTACCCTCTCCGCAGCAAAAGTAACAGTGCCTACAGCCCAGGTTTTCACTCGGAGCCGGTGACGTTTGGCGAGCACGGGCTGGTACATACTTCCGAGGACAGTCAGTCTCACTCGAGCGGTGTCGACTCCAATCTCAGCGACTTCCTAGACGACATCGGTGACGACAGAAGTTCTGATGGGTTTTTCGCTGCGAGCCACTCCCCTCCCGTCGAAGGATCACACGATGAGGGTGACGACGGCGCTAATGACTGCATTAAGCCTCTCATGATGAAAATTCAGACTCAGAACGTGAGCGGCTGTGTGCTGGAAGAGGGTCGGGTGATCCATGTGGGGGACATCGTGTGGGGGAAGATTCAAGGCTTCCCGTGGTGGCCGGGCCGAGTGTCCACCATCACCGTCACGCAGCGGGACAATGATGTGGTCATCACTCAGCTGGCCAGCGTCGCCTGGTTCGGGTCCAACACTATGTCTCACGTGCATTGCTCTGACTTGTTTCCTTTCTTGGAAGAGTTCAAAGCTCGGTACAACAAGAAAAAGAAAGGGCAGTACAGAATAGCCATAAAGCAAGCTACCATGGCGGCACAGATGCTTGCGACTGCCTCTCAGCAGGATGGCTTTGAGGATTTTGATTTATGAGGTGTTAAAAGTGTTTTTGTCTTACTAATAAGATGTTTTGAGATTTTAAGACATGGGTTCCAGCTTTTATAAACTTTTCAAGTGTCATATCAGTAAGGACCACAAAGCAGATACTGGTTTCACTGGAATGATATTCTCTTGTGACACCAACAAGTGAATGGTTTTTGAGGTGTCGTTGAACATTTTTGGTTTTCACAAGTCTTTTTTTGTTTTGTTTTACCCAAAATAAATACAGATTAATGGCAGCTGTCTAGTAATGGTTTGACAAGGGGAGGAATGTTTGTGTTTCTGAGGTGTTAGTTATTAAGTTTCCTCAAAGAGAAGCAAAGTGGATCCAGACATGTAAACTTTCTTTTTTTCTCACAATGGTGTACATTTCATGTGTTTTTGTCACTGAATGGAAGAGCTGGCAATTTTTCCCCAGCAACTAGGGCAATGCTTCGTTATATATTTTATTTGAAGAGAATGAAGTGTGGGAAGCCTTCTAGCATTGGGATGAGAATGTCAAAGAGAAAGCTAATCAAATTGCAGTTATTGAGAGACATAGATGAGAAGAAAGCGTAAAAAAATGTTGAATCAGCTGCAAGTTCAAGTGAGCATTCCCTGCTCTACACAGTTGACAATCACCCTTGTATGAGCCATCTTCCAAAACTGAAAACACGGCCTAATGGATGTTATTTCGGTGGTCCTGCAGATTATGGTTTTAGCAGATTCCAATGAATTTATCATTTGTAGTCTATTTCCTAGTTCACAAAGTTAGAACTTATTTTAGAAGTGGTCTGCTTTTTTTGGCTCTCACTTCCAAATGTAAGAGTTTTGAAACTTGTCCCCTCTGTTGGTTTAGAGGTAATTTATTATTACATTTTTGTGCATGTTTTCGAGGATCTGTCTGTTTCCATCCTGCTCTGCTCGAAGGTGCCTGAATAAAGTCGGAGACAAATTAGGTTCAAAAAGGCTTATAATTTATTTTCTTACTTTTACTAATGGTAGTTTTTTATGATTCATAGGCGGGACTTGAAAGCTTTGAAATTTTATTTTATTTTTTTATTATTATTATTTTTAAAAATTCTTCGTTAATTCTATTCTATATCTGCAGATGCTCAGCAGGTTTCATAAAATTTATATGTATATATAGGAAATGAATATAAAAAAACCCAATAAATAATGAATATACAATTGTTGTATTGATCAACCACCATGTAAAATGTATTTTGGAATTTGAATGAAACTTTTCCAAAGGCATATATATATAGTGAATCCTGAGCATCAGTTTTGAGATATAAAACTGTTGAAGGATGAGCTGCTTGGCTTCGCAATTTTGTACATTGTTTGTCCATTTGTTTTGCTTTGTGCATAGCGTACATATTGAAAGCCATATTTTTACAAACTACATTATTTTTTTAAAAAGAAGAAAAAGTTGAGCTGTTGTCCAAGAGGAGCTGAACTTTGTAATTCTTCTTTTCCAGAACTTGTTTTTGCTTTTCCTTGACTCCCTGTTGTAAATAGCACTAAATAGGCAGGCTGGGTTATGTGTCTTAAGTTTGCTTTTTTAAATAAAAGTAAGATCACCGAGAGTAGGTAATGGCAGGAGGACATTTTTATAGTGCTCTGCCAAAAAAAAGGAGAGTGTTGTTTGTCTTTTTCAGTATTGCTCCATTTTGAAAGATAAAGTTAACGACTTAGTAAATGTTTGTTAACTGTTGCTGTTTAACTGGTTTTTCTATCAGGACGACAATCAAGACGAAAATTGTGTTCAATGATAAAAAACGGCATTATCTAGCCAGATCTTCCTAAGTGTGTGCTCTCAATGCTCTCTTGCCTGACCAATGGAATGAGATGTCTGTTCTTCCAGGGGTAGCCTCTCTTTGTATGTTATCTCTCGCTGACATTGTACAAAGCTGTTGTTCACATGATTAGGGACTTGTTTGTGGTAGGTAGGGTTGGGGGTGGGGGGGGCGGGGGGTTTGTTTGTGTGTAGCCTACATGATGTTATCAATATGTACGTTCCTGGAGAATAGTCCCAGTTTTGGGCATTCATTTTTTTGAGTAGGGAAGTCAAAAAAGACTATGAAAGTGTGGACTTAGTGAGAAAAAAAATATCACAATAAAACCTTCAGAAGACTCAAAAGTGTAACTGTCTCAAAACCATGTACTAATTTTTATAGAAAGTGTTTCGTGTTTTTATTCTTTTATTGACCTGCTTAATAAAACTTCCCATTACGGTTTCCAAGTGTTAAGATGTGCATTTTTGTCTACATTTTAACCGCTATAACTTCTTCCCCATTAAACACAGCAAACCAATAGGGGGATGTACTAAAAGCTCAAATTCTTGAGGTTTATTCTGCGTTAGAATGGTTAATTTCTATGCCTTAGTTTTTGTTCTAGACAAGTGTTTGTAGAGTGCCCAATTTGTCCTATTTTAGTTATATACTTATGAATAATTTATTGTTTATTTTAAACAGCTCCGCAGATCTCTCCAAAATCTGTGTTAGACTGACTACGAATATCATGTCATTTACCATGAGAAATCTTAAATCTGCGCAAGTAGTAATAGTCAAGTTATAGGAAAAGAAAGATGCACACCTGTATTTTTTAATTAAAGACACTCAACTTTAGCTCTTTTTCTACCATTAAACTCTGCATTTGTTCATGAATCATGCTGTGTCTGTGGCAGCCTGCACACAACTAAGAAAGATATATTATGTGATTTTTTAAAAACACAAAACTTTTAATACTACATGGGTAGAGATAAACTTCTTGTATGGAAAAAAAAATAATGACAGCTAACACTAACCCATCCATTCTTAGTTTTTATGTCGGGTATGCGCGGACACTTATGAATATGTAAAGAAATCAGAACATTGTCAGTTATTGCAAATGGTCATAGAGGTCTGGTGCTAATTCAGTACGTCACTGGAAAGCTAGAAATTATTCTTATACTACAATTACGAGAAGTGATTTCTGTTAGTCAGTCAACTTACAAAACCTAGACTAAACTGTTTTGAAAAATAAGGAATTTATCGAGTGTAACAGACACTGTTTATGTATTACATTGTAGATGTATTCTGGTACTAAAATCGGTTTGTACTTTTTCATAGAGAGACTTCAGGGTAATTTTGACAAGCTTTAGACAAAATATGCGAATATTCACGATTATATTAGACACATGAAGTCGTATTTGGAGGAATTACTTCATAGTGAATTGTGTCCCAGATGGATAAAGTTGCAAAATTACAGCTTCCTATTATATGCGCAGAGCAGATACCAGTGGAGCGGGTTCAGCTGTGCTTATTTTACAAAATATTACATGTTTTTTAACTTACTCAAATCCTTCAACAAATTTGTTCAAATCTGCATTTTTCAGCTTTAAATTTCCATTGAGAATAGGCCGTTATTTCAAAGCAAAAATATTCCAGACTGCTATTTCTCCAGGCGCACATATTGTGCTCTTGTTGTTTTCAGCTTCAGGCCTCTCTTTGTCTAGGGCTTTTAATAGCAAAGTTTCTCACCTTACTTTAAGACTCAATGGCCAAAATAATGATGCAAAACATGGCAGACTGTTATCTGTTTAAATTCTTGAGCTTTTCTTTAATTTTTGAATGTTGTTGTCAAGATTTTGTTTACCATAGCAAAGTGACTTAAGGGCTCATTTTGAGCTAGTGTGTTGTGTCAATTTCTTTTTTTTAGGCCTTTCCCGGTCTTGATGTTTGTTCAATTTTTTTGTTGTTGTAATGTGCTATATTGTATGAACAGCATGAAAAGAATGAAATTTATAGGCCTAATGAAAATGAAAAAAGCGTGCACATATTGCAAAAGGTCTAAGTCATGTTTTTTTTTTTTTTAATGCTCTAGACTGCTTGAAGTTATGGTACTTGCTAGGATTCTTTAGTTACTATTATACATGCGAGATGTGCATTAATTGTATCACCCAGTCAAAGCTTGAGATGGTTAGGCCTACAGTTATAATTGCTTTCCGTGCTTGGCTCTCTAGTATTTTAAAGTTTATTTCCCTTGCATAGTTACCATTCACTTTGATCCTTGTGTTTGTTCTGTGCATTTTTTAAAGGTTTTTTTGTAAATGTTTCTTTAGTTGTGTTAAAAAGACGTGGGGTGGTGGTTGGGGGGGGGAGGGGGGGGTGTTTTCTTCATTATCCATCGATGAAGGGGAAAATGATAATGCTGCTCTCAGCAGCTTTCTTGAACCTTTCTCAACAGACCTACATTTGGAGCATTTCTTGCATGTTTTTTTTTACACTGGTTTTGTAGGACAGACATTTGTGTTAACAACCACCAATGTTTTGACGTATTTTAAAAAAATGTATATTGCCCATAGGTCTTTACTTAGTGTCTGTTTTATCTGGATGCAGAAATAGTGGGAAGTAGATGTGTGTATTGTTGAATATTCAGCTGTTCAAACTGCAAACCAGAGCTTGTTATAGTTTTATTAGAGATGGAGTACGACTGGTCCTTTTGAGAATTAATCTCCATTCCACTTTGAGCTATTGGCTAATTTTTTGACAGTGTGAAGCAGGTAGGAAAAATGAAATGACAGAATTTATCCTTGAAATTATGCCGTAAAGTAAGTAATGCGTTATATCGTTGGTGCTCCATTGGAACCTTGTTTACTTGAATTTTTTAATTTCACAAGAGACACAGAAATCTTTCTGACATTGTTAATGTGAACACCTAGCCAATAAAATGTTGTCAATTTGTCAAACAGTTAAGTATGTCTTTTACCTTGCGCATTATTGCGCAATCTGAGTTAACGACAAAACATCCTTAGGTCGGCGAGGTTTTCCGTCTCAAGCGCTGCTCCTTTGAACTTCTTCAAGGTCTCAGGACAGTGCAACACATGGAACTGGGTTGCTCTGTACTGGCCTTGCTATCTTTGGGTTATCTTTAAATGCTCATGTTTCACTTGCTGTGGTTTGTTTTATGATGTCCTGATGGCCAGCAAGTGAGTGAGTATAATTTGTATATATTACTTTTCAGCACATCAAACGAAATCGATAAAATAAGGGACAACATGGACAGAGATAGAACGAGGTTCACGGACCCATGTCACTCTTTTGGTGCTCTCTAATAACCTTGTTATTGTGTTACTGAAGTTCAAAGGATGAAATGTGCCGTTATGGTGGATAGTGAGGTTTGCGTAGAATTTTAAGTTCTTTTCAAGATATTATTTAATATTTTGGACTTGATATTTAGACTATACTTATTGTGCTTGAAGGTATCAGGAACTTTTTAGTGCAAAAAAGTGATTTTCGCCAAAATTTGAACCAGCGAGGTTCCATCAGAGCACCAACGATATGACAAAGGCATACAATATAGCAGCTCATACTCTACCACTTTAGGAATATAGGTGGAGTCTACCACTTTAGGAATATAGGTGGAGTCTACCAGTTTAGGAATATAGGTGGAGTCTACCAGTTTAGGAATATAGGTGGAGTCTACTGCTAGGAATATAGGTGGAGTCTACTGCTAGGAATATAGGTGGAGTCTACTGCTAGGAATATAGGTAGAGTCTACTGCACTTCTCCTCTATTTTGTTTCTTTAAAATGGCGGATTGTACTTGCCCGTTTTACAAAAAGTTTCTGTTATTTAGGCCAGGCCCTTCTGTCTGTGTTGCCAAATTTTCTAATTGTGCATGTATGTTTGTATATAATATCAATTTCATTTTAATCCTGGTTTTCATATGATTTATTTTTATGTCAAGAATACAAATTTTGAGACAGTGGGCCATTTACAAATATTCTGAGTGGAAATTTTGGGATCAGCTTCTTGATCAAGATATAGGAGCCAAGGACAGGATTCTCCGTCTGTGTACTCATTTTTGGGGCAGGATCGCTGATATGTTAACCCTTTCCTATGTCAATCTTCCTTACAATAGTCACCCATTTTTTAAACTTCCTTTGCACGTAACATTTTAGTTTTCTGATTCTATTTCATTTTAGAAGTGCCGATTTTCTGGATAAATCTAGAAATTCAAAGGCCTGATTACCATACGTTAAAGATTTTTGTTTGTTTCATAGCTATTTGTCACTTCTGGCATTTAGTAAAAGTGAAGGGGAGTGACACTGCTTCTGGCTGTGATGCGTTTGTTTAGGGGAGTGAAAACAAGGCTGCAGTTTAAAGCAGTGATATAATATATGTCATAGCCAAGCTATAGAAATTATTTGGAAGAGAAACAAAGTGCATATCAACCTGAGTTTAGCATGTTTGAACTCGTAACATGGGTGATACATAAAGGCTCACATTGTTTCGGACAAGTTTAACAGGAAAGGGTTGATAATTTTTTAAATTGATTTTTAAAAGTTTTAATTTAAACTGATTTTGTATATTTATAAACTATTTTGTACTTTGTACTTGCGTTACCTGATGTTGAAATGCCTTTTGTGTTGCAAAGTTTAAGGATTCCCATCATAATCACCTTTTCTTTCATGGAAGTGGAATTGACAAATTTTCATACATATATTCATGTGCAGATTTAATTTGATTTTGTTTTTTGTTTTTTGTTCTATCTTTCTTTCTTTGTTCTTTTTTTCTTTTTTTTTCACTGTAATTGTTAATAGACTTTAAAAGGTTTGCTGAGAAAGGCTCATTTGTTTTGCTGTTGCCTTCAGAGTGGCTGTTTACTGTCACATTTAATGAAACAAATTTTAAGTTTTTAAGCCTAAATTTGTTTATTTATACTTGTTTGTAATCATGAAAAGGTATTGGTACATTGTCTGCCACGAAGCATACTGTTTTAGATTCCATGTGTACTTCATCAGAGTCCACAGGTGTGCTGCCTCTGGTATTTATTTCTGTATTGTTTGTCTTTCTACAAGTAGATATGTATGTGTCTTCGTGGTGAAATCAGGCACTTGTCGAAATAATGAAATTGAAGAAACCGTCATTTTTCTGCTGGATGAGCAATTTCTTTAGATTAAAAAAATATTTTTCTGCAGCTCAACACGTTTCATGTCCTTGTAAAAGCTAATTTTTAAAGAATTTTACTGAAAAACGTTGATCAAAGACACATAAGATGTAAACTAGCAGTTTACAAGGACATTCAATCTTTGTAAGTGGTCAAACCTCAACGAAGCAGACTTTGTGCTGTTGAAGCTAGAGAGGTGAGCAGAGTAAGTCCGATTCCCTGTAAATACTTCTCTGTTGACACCCACCCCTTGGCGCTCATCTGACCGTATGCAGTTGCGAGCGCCCTCTACTATAAAATAAATCCCTACCTTTTTCAACAGCAAATGTTTTGAATTTTTTTCAAGATTGATTGATGTTTTATTCATCAAAAGCAGAAGGAACAGGCTTTAAGATAGTACCAATACCTCTAAGTGCCCAAAGATTGATGAACGTCTGATTACACTATGTTATGACACTTGTATCTGTATCTTTGAAACATGTTTCTTTGTATTGGTTAAGATGTGTAGAATGGAACGAATGATGACATATAGATAGTGGAAAGTTAAATGCGCAGTATCTTTGAAAGGCATATGGACTGTGTATACACCCAATATATATATATAACTGTACATTTTCTGCATTACGTTTAGGTACACTGTGATAAAACGTGCGTTTTGTTCTTACCAAAAACTGCCATCAATACAAAATGTCCACTGTTCTGTCAAAGAATTTTTTTAATAATGGGTGGAAAGCTGGGTAAACGCCTTAGTGAAATGAAGAATACAAACAAGCAGCATCCCTCATAGGGCGTCCTTGGACTTGGGATTTATTATAGATTATCAAGGCTTTCAAACCACTCCTAGCTTTGTCTTGTCGGAGATGGATCTATTGTCAAAGGATTTCATGAATTGTCTGTATAGAATTAAAGAGGTGGTTAACCCATACTTTGTAAAGCAGTCAACATAAAATATAGTGCACCCTGCCAATCAGATTGGCATCTATGGTGTAGTAGGTAGACGCGTTGTTGTCATTTGTAGGAGACCCAAGTTTGATTCCCAAGTGGGGAGAAATTTGTATTAGTTATCTTAGTCTTTCTGCTGCGATATTGTGTTTCCCTCTTAGCCCAGGTAGGCCATGACAGGCAGGGTCAGAAGCCTGTCGTTAACATGGTCTAACTTATGTTGATGGGGGCGTAAAAACACATTTTTTAAAAAGGAAAAAAAAAAGCTGCCTGTCAGATTTCATTAGTTTGATACGTGGGCCAGCCAAATTTTTTCTTCGTGGTTTGGGGAAAAAGCTGCCATTTTAGCACACAACGACAGAACTCAACTAGGTTTAACTGTAGCCTTCAAGATCAGACATGTCTGATTTTTTAGGTTGAGAGTCAAATTGGTCATAGTATGCCAAAATGGTAGCTTTTCGCCCCTCCTAAAAGAAATATCTAGATGTCCCCAACTCAGTTTGATGAATCTGATGAGCTGTGTGCACTGGGTATAAAAGAAGGAGGTTGTTTTTTTTAAATGTGGTTTTGGGGGGGCGGGGTATTATATCAACAACTCACCGGGATGCTGTTTGAAAATAGGCCAAGTATGTAAAAGAAATCCACAGCGTGGGTTGAACGTAAGTTTTTAATAATCGTTTTGTTCCAGTTCCTTGACCTTGTTTTTGAAACTATTTAAATAATAAGACAGTAAAAGATAACTGAGTACAAAGGGAGATGGTTTTCAGTTTTCAAATTTGTAGTATTTTCACTTTGTGTCAGCATTATTCGACTTCAATTTTTGTTATTTTGTTTCGTTTTGAGGATTTGTTTTGTTTTGTTTTGGTTTCATTTTGTGATGATTTTTTTCACCTTTCTATCACTCTCTCAGCATTAGCACTTTCAGTCTTCATCAAAGCTTACTATTTCTATACACTCCCAATCTCTCAGCCTGGGATGTGCGTGATTAGTGCTGTTTATCGCGATGTGACAGCTTCCGTTTCTTCCACCAGCTTGAGCATCTGTGACTCTAGTACCTCGTGGCGGCATGTGATCTTGTGTGTGAATAGCGAGACGTGACTACTTGCATATATGATGATACTGTTGCAAAATTTTTATTTCTAATTTCATCCACACTAGTCATGAATCATTGAAATTAAGATTTGTATTATTTTTTTTGTTTAAACCATCACACTGTGTACAGAGAACAAAAAATCACCTTTTATTTATTCAACTTTTGTATTTTGCTTTTTGTATGATGTTTGGCTTAAAATGTTTGTGTACAGATATTCATTAAAATGTATAAATATTATGAAAAGGTAAGTTTCTCTTGCATGTATAAGGAACCCACACAAAGGAGAGTATAAAAAGCCATGTAAGTGTAAAGCTTGTTTTAGTTAAAAAAAAAAAAAAAGACATTTAAATTATACTATGTATATTGTTGAAGTCTTTGCTTATATGTATCATCTGTTGCTGTTTTAGCCCTGCACACCAGATGTTCCATCAGGTGCACACACCAAAAGAAATTATATTGTATCTGTTTTTGCAAAGACAGATTTCATTCTGTTGCAATTGTACCTATATTATATGTCTTTTCTTGCTTTCTTTCCCCCAACATTTGTTCAAGCGACAGCTCGGTCCGATGTTGTGTCCTCGAAAAAAGCACTTTCTACGAATTTCCCATTTAGGTCAGTCCTTTTGGGGGTGGACATTAAACTTGGAGGTCCCACCTCTTAAATAATCTTATGCATGTAGCTGCATAGGGGAGTTGAACCTATATCATTTCACCTTTTTCCCCCAGCATTTAGAATGTGAATTTCTACAAAACATTTGGCAACCAAAACCACAGATTAAGAAACTGCATTAAAGGAATTTTTCAGAAAATTTGGGCATGGTACATCTGAACAGCTGGCTGATGTTATCTTTCATTGTGTTTGCCCGCACATCATGCTGTGTGTGTGTGCGTGTGGAAATGGGGGGACTTGCTTGGTCATCGGCACAAAGAGTGGTTTAATTTATACACACGAGTGTAGTGCCATCACAGTGAAACCCTCCTCACGTGTCACGACATCATCATTGGTGTATGTGAGGCAGCTTGGTGAAATCAGGTGCTCGTCAAAGTAATCAAAGTGAAGAAACTGGCATTTTTTCGCAGGTTTGTGAATTTTTATTGAATTTTTGTTTTTTTGGCTCAACACCTGTCATGCCTAAGAAAACATTTCTATGAGGATTTTACTGAAAAACTGATGAAAGGCACAAAAAATGTGAATTCCCAGTTTCCATGGACTCTCAAGCTAAGAAAATAACTAATATTTGGCAGCCATTTTCACTCAAATTTTACCTCTGAAACCAGGTGAACCCCACCTCCTTCAGTCGCAAATATCTCGAATTGCATTCAAGATAAATGGATATTTTTTTAAATCGAAAACAAGACAAGTGAACAAGCTAAGCTAGTAAGATGATTTCGATAACTCTACATGGCCAAAAATTGACGAGAGCCTGATTCCACTGCGTCGTGACACATATCATTGGTGTCCAACACTCAACAGTGTATCTAAATCTATTTTTATTTCTATAATTACAATATATAACGCTATAATATTATATGAGAAGAACACTTACACAATATTTTGACTAATTCTGGAAGAAAATAAGAAAGAAAACTTTTTTTTCAACATTTTTGAAAATCAGTGTTCACACAGACATGTACAAGAGTTAAAGTTAGACATTGACGTTATGACCTTTTTTCTGCTCTTTTCAGAACACTGAGCATGCTACTGTCATTTGAAGTCAGTATCGTGTTTAGAATGAAAGATTATGAGATTTAGTGCGAATCTGGGGGGATTCTTGTTTACTTTTTTAACTGATAGGTGGCTGTTAATATAGCTTTGCTCCAATACCATGGCTCACAACCAGATAAATACATATATTTTTTGTTTATTTGTTTTCTGTACTACCACATCAAATACTTATTAATTTTCTTTGAGTGGCTTTAGCGTCTTACTTTTATCAGTGAATAGTTAAGTTGGAAGGGGGAAAAAATCCGACGTAAACCCTGAAATCAGTGCTGTTACCGTTGGATTATTTTAGGTTCAAGTTTATAATAAAACTAAAAAAACAACAGAAATAAACCCATAGACTATAGAAGGGGTATGTTAGTCTTCCACGGAGAATACTGATGTTTTGGAATACAACTTTTATAGGAAATAGACAATTTTGTTTTCTGTGCAATTTTATCTTTACTATGCTTTGTTGGAGGTTTGCAAATTCATATGTAGTCTGTGAATGCTATTGTTGTCAAATTCTGTGTTTTGATATCTTGATTATTATTTCTAAAATTCTTTTTTTGATGGATTTTTCCTAATAAAAAGTAATTTTATAGATGATATTTTTTTCTGTGAAAGACAAAAAAAGGAAATAAAATGTTTCTGATATTATAATTCTAGGTCTGTGCAGTAAGGCTAAAACCTACACATACCTTTGTTCACTTTGAAGCCATGTTTGTTTTGGCTCACATACAAGCAACACAATTGAATAAAGTTTTTAAACAAATGTTATGTTTTTCTTTTTCTTTTCTTTTGGTTTTTGTTGTTGTTGTTGTTGTTTGTTTTTTAAGGATATGACGTAGCAGGATTATTGTCAGGAGATGATTTGTACAGTCGAATTTGCTCAGACCTGTCCTAGTCAATCACTAGTACTGACGACCACTTCTCCTTTCTCACCTTTCGTTGTGTTTTGGTAAGAGTTTTACAGTGCTAGCCACTGCTTAAAGTCAAATGAGCACATGGGACATGACTTTAAACATTTCCAGTTTTGGTAGGAATTGATTTTGAATTTTGCCTGGGTGGCGGCCAAAGCCTACTCTTATCGATTTTTAGACCTCAAAGGAACTTTTCCATGCCCAAATTCCCGCCATTTATTATTTTTTTCTACATTATAATGACACTATTCAAGATGCCCACCTGTCTAAGACGAACACTTTTATTCCTGACAATAGGTGACCATTTTGTACAATTGCAAGTATGTTTCTGAATGAATGTGCTTGGACGAGAAATGTCCCCCCTTTAGGCCATTCCCAAAGGGGGGACATTTCTCTTTCAAGCACAGTAGAATTGTAAATGGGCTGATTCATGTCTCGCTCATAACTGTGCCTGATCTACAACAGCGAACTGCTGCTTTTTCTTTCTTAATCCTTACTATTGCCATTTTCCTCTACTTCTTTTGTATGTTTGTCACTCTCTTGTCACATGCTATTTTGGGTACCTTGATAGTCGAAGCAGACCTTGTGCTGTTGAAGCTAGAGAGATGAGCAGTCTAAGTCTGATTCCCTGTAAAGACTTCTCTGTTGACACTCACCCCTTGGCGCTCATATGACCTTATGCAGTTGCGAGCGCCGTAAAACCCTCTACTATAAAAAAAACGGGTGGTTGGAGGGCGCCACTGGTACTTCCTACTTTATGTCTTTTCCTCTGCTGTTTCTGTTTATTTGTCTTGCTTCTCCTCTACTCTAAATGACCGTTTTGTATTGATGTGCTTTTTTAAAACTCAAATCAAAACCCAACAGCTACATGTATGTTAGTGGGTGGTTAGCGGGTGCTCTGGTGTGGTTTGCTCGCTCTTTCCTATCAAACATATCGTCCTTATCTCTCCTCCTTTTTTTGTGAAGGCCTATGTTACTCTCTAGTAACTCATCTATTCTTGGCACTTATATGATGACTTTATTGTGTTGCAAGTGCCGTCAAACTCTTACTAAAACTAAAGCTAAACGTGTGTGCTGTGGCTTATGTCCCACAGCTGAGTTGCCCGATACGATTGCGTTCCTTCACCTCAGTAGACTTGGACCGTTAGTGTCTGTTTAGATGACCTTGTGTGGTTTGCTCCTTCTCTCCTGTCAAACATCTATATTCCTGATCTCTCCTCCTTTTTGTGTTTGTTACTTGTAACACCTCTAATCTTCAGCAAGTGTATGACCTTATTGTGTTGCAAGTGCCGTAAAACTCTTACTGAAACTTAACTAACTCGACAGCGTCATACTGGGAATGCTCTTTTCCGTCATCATCATCACTGCCATGCTCATTCTGCACTGTGGGTGGTTGACGGGTGCTCTTGTGGGGTTTGCTCGTTCTTTCCAGTCAAGCTTCTATCGTCATTTCTCCTCCTTTTTTTGTGTTTGTTACTGCCTTGAAACACATCTAATCTTCTGCATTTATATGCACATTACTAAAACTAAATCACCGTGCATCAAGGTACAGGCCATGAACAAACACGTTCCGCCTTTCTCTTTCTTGGGCTAGCCCCTTGATATTATACCACGTTTTCCCACTTCTGTGCATCATACCCCCTGGGGCGGTGCCACTAACTGAAGTGTCTTTAGGCCATTCCCAAAGGGTGGACATTTCTCGTTCTAATGCACTGTAGAATTGTAAATGGGCTGATTCATCAATGTCATGCTCATAGCTGTGCCTGAACTACAACAGGGAACTGCTGCTTTTTCTTTCCTAATCCTTACTATCGTCATTTTCCTCTACCTCTTTTGTATTTTTGTCAAACTCTTGTGACCGGCCTTTTCCGGGGTGCCTTGATAGTCGAAGCAGACTTTGTGCTGTTGAAGCTACAGAGGAGAACCGAGTAAGTCTGTTTCTCTGTAAGGACTTCTCTGTTGACATCTACCCCTTGGCGCTCATATGACCTTATGCAGGTGCGAGCGCCGTAAAACCTCTACTAAAACCAAAAATACTAAATCTGTGCATCATTCTCTGGGACTGTTCCAGGTCTCACGTGGCCTTTCCCTTGGTCTGTTACCCTGTGGATTCCAATCCAACACTGTTTGTTATGCATTTACATGACTTCCTGAGAGTATGTCCAATCTATCGCCACCACCTTCTTTTCACAGCGCACTATAAAATATGTAGTGAAAGGCTGTTTTTGCACGGAATGCATAGTGACAAACTGTTCGCGCTTGGCAAACAGCGAAATAATCAAAATAATCACAACACATCACTCAGCCAACTAACAAGTAAAATGCAAACACTTTCATGTTGGGCAAACGATCAATGGTGTTTATTTGACTCAGTTCAGTGTTTGATTTGTTGGGCACATTTTCATTATCGCTCCTTGATCCTAAGTTTTTCTCGTTTTAGGTTCAGCAAGACCCTTACCCTAGTCAATGAAATCATTGACGCTTTTTTTCTCTCTCTTCACAAAGTGCCCAAAAGGGGAATTCTTTTAACTGTTTCAAAATGAATACATGTATAGATCTAGTGTATAAACACAACGTACATTATTTACAAGTGGCAAATGCCGCTATTAACATCAATCTTCTAAAGTCTGGGGCCTCCTCGGAGTTTGCGCATGATTGTGCATCGCACGGTGCGGATTGGTGCTGTTTGTGTTTAGCGTCTTGGTGAAACAGGAAACAAAGGTAACGTCATGTAGGGAATTATGTAAACAAACATGCTTACAAAAGCAAAAAGTGGCCCTTGCATAAGAATGCTAGATATTTGCCAAGAATACATTTAGATTAAATTTCCCAAAATGACAGTGTTTAGATTTGTAATCCTTTTTCATTACGGCTTTCACGATTTGGAAAGGTTAATTAAATGGCAACAGACTGTGGTACATACTGTCGCTCTATTGCCGTTCTGTTGTTGACCATAATTCTTTTTGCCAAGTCTTCTGGCGAGAAGCGTCCTAAATCTTCTAAGAAATGCCCACCGGGTCGTTTTGGTCCTTCCTGCCTGAGTAAGTGTCCAAATCAATGCCCCACATCATGCGGCGAAGACGGAAAGTGTGTCGACTGTCTGGAGTCTGGGCTCAAGCTACCCGACTGCCTCTCCCCGTGTAACAAAGGATTTTTTGGACGTAACTGCAAACACAGATGTACCCCTGCGTGCAAAGACTCGGACTGCAGTGTCAAAACCGGGAATTGTCTCGAGTGCCGAGCTCCTGGCCTGGCTCTTCCCAAATGTTCATCTCTTTGCCCAAAAGGCACTTACGGCGCCCAGTGTTCTAGAAGATGTCCGCTGACCTGTGAAGATACGTGTGACCCTCTGGATGGTCATTGTACTGACTGTTCTCACGGCGTGGGAGCAAAGTGTGCTGTGAACTGCGCCGACCGAAGGGAGGCTGCTATATGCAAACTGTATTGTCCCAGCAACTGTGTGGGCTGGTGTAACTCTACAGACGGGCAGTGTAATGTCTGTGCTTCCGGTTTAAAACCTCCTTTCTGTAATGAGACGTGTGACGAAGGATACTACGGTAGAAGCTGTCAGAAAAAATGTCCGGTTCGCTGTAAGAACGGGACTTGTGATCCCGTGAATGGTGTGTGCGTTGGGTGTCTGGCAGGGTATGTCGGTAAGAGATGTAACGGTCAGTGCATAGCGGGTCTTTACGGAGAGCTATGCTCGCTGTCATGTCCAGAGACATGTGTTGACAAAATGTGCCACTTTAGAAATGGGAGCTGCCTCCTGTGTCTTCCAGGCTACACGGGACCCTTATGCGATCAGTTCTGTCCAGGGGGTAGTTTTGGACCGGGTTGTAACCTTCAATGTCCAGAAAATTGTGGCGGGGTTTGCGATCCTATGTCTGGCTGGTGTTGGAAGTGCAAACCTGGCTATCGCGGTCCTTTCTGTAACGCCACATGCGATGAAGGCAGCTTCGGTGAGCAGTGCACAAACAGATGTTCTGAGTTCTGCGTCAGGGAAAAGTGTCATCACCTCAGCGGTGCTTGCCTTCAGTGCGGACCCAGACGTACAGGGACGTTTTGCAACGAGATTACTTCAGAACCGAAAGCAAACCAGTTCAAAATGGCCGTCTTCATCTTTTTGGGTCTTCTTTCTCCTGTTGGTCTAGCTTCGTTGTCGATGGCTGTGTATAAATACAAAATAAAGAAAGTACGAGATACAATAAATCACAGAAATCGGAACCTGGTGACGGCATCTGTTGCTAAAGACAGAGGAGCTAAACCTTCGCCAGGTCTTTCTGGAGCCCATAAAGATCCAAAAACTTCCCCAAAATTTCCATTAAATCAAGAAGTGAACTACAAGGATGCTGTTTTCAGAAATCGGGCATTGCAGTTTCCAAAATACTTTCCTAAATCGCCAGTCTATTCAAATGCTTCAAAGAAGATTGATATCCAAAGAGAGCACAGTTCTGCCAGGTGTACACCCATAAACAATGAACCAGTCACGTCTGCGGGCCTTGGTCCTCTGGGAGCCAATACATCTGAGCCCTACACCTCTTCTCTCGAAAACTTGAGGTCGGCAGAAGGCAGCAGATTCTCACCGTCGTCGCATCAAACGTTGGAACATCGGCAAGAGCTGTCATGCGCGGTACACCGTCATAAACTAGACGGAATATCTCGTCGCCAGTGGTCTGCACAGTCGAAGAACGTGGAATCTGGTAGAGCAATTACTCAAACCAACGACACGAAAACTTACCAATTAGATACTTCTTCGAGTTATGAATTTTTCACCATCCTCAAAGCCTCTTATAAAGAGAAAAATCACACTTGTCAGGGTGAAGCAAGCGGATTAGCGACAGAATCAACAAGTAATGTCTCTGTCCGACAGAACGACCCACAAACTAGCGGCATTTTAAGCTTGTCTCCAATTTCATTGAGTGGTAATACTTCTTCACAACTAGAACATTCAGAAAACAAACTAGTATTTTCCTACAGTACTTCACAGAAAGTAGATATTTCTTCCAAACCCAAGGTACCTTCCCCTCACACAATAACAGCGACGTCCCATACACTGATTTCAAAAGTGCAAGGTGCGACTTCAAGGTCAGACACTCTGGAGAGCTTAGACTCAAACTTAGACGTCCAGTCTGCTTGTTTCGTTGAGGATAAATACTCAATGCCATCCTTTTCTAAGGGAGGTGAACCCGCGAAAGGGACCTCTAAAGATGCTGGTCAGACGAGCAGTTCCTTAAGTGGTCAAACAGATCCCACTGAAAGCTTGGTGACGTCCGAAAGCAAACGAGACCTTTACCCAGTTGCGTATAGTCCTGAATCAAGTTACGCGAATCAGCGAATCATCTCTGAGTCGGAATTGAAAAATCGGAGACAGCATGCAACATCCGGAGCACTTGGAGCGGATGCTAAAGACAGTGAACAGAAGAACACAACGGTCGCAGATGTTCTACATCAGCGGCCAAGTAAGCCACACTATATTGATCCAGAGGCAATTCCTTTGCACTCTGTGCCATCGAGCGAAATTGTCCCAAATTTAACTGGAGAGATTGAGATCCTACAGAGACACGTCTCAACATTGATATCTCCTGGTCCTATCCAGAGGACTTTGAATACAGAGTATGCTCATCTGAATGGCGCAGCACACGGCGAGATTATCCGTTACAACGAGTCTTCCCTAGTAACAAACCGTGGGAGAGATTTGGATCCAGGACCTGCAACACAGGCCAGAAATCCGTTTGGGAGGAAGCCTCTCTCTCGCCCAGCCTCTGGCCCAAATCTGAGAACAGTTAGCCGTTTAGAAATGGGTGTCTTCTCACAGAGCAGCCCTCTAGGAGCCAATACATCTGACCCCTTCACATCTTCTCTTGAAAATGTCGGATCGGCAGATGGCAGCAGATTCTCACCGGTTCGTCAAATGTTGGAGCATGGACAAGAGCTATCACATGAGGAACAGCATGATCAACAGGACAGAACCACTTATCGCGGTGTAACATCCGACACCAGCGCGCGTCCGCACAAAAGGGCGACCAAAGATAAGCAGAAAAATAACGGACACGCAAGTGAACTTACGTTTACGGAGCAGACAACAAAGTCTTTATCCAAATTTGCCGGTGCGTCGCGTAGTCATACAGACGAGAGACCTAGGGTTGGACCGCCCGTCCCAGGGAGAAAAATGAGCTTTTCTTCCAAATTCAAGAGTGAGAAAGACATCCAAAATTCTGTCGAACGCACTTCTTCCACTGCTTTCTCGAGACCCCAAACGCCCGCAAAAATGTACGTCGTACACAAATGTTCTCCGCCAAGGTCCATTGAAGATCTCAGCCACATAAAAAGAGACCGTATGTCGCCATCGAAAAGATCACTGCAGAATAATCACGGATCGCCTTCAAAACAGTTTTCAGCGGCTAACACGTCCCCTTTCAAACGAGTCTCGATACCACCCTCGCCCAAAATGCAAATGCCCGTGGGTAGCAGCAGCGCCACTGTGTCTGATACTCACCCGACTTTGGTCAGTGCTAAAACCTCCGAAAGGGACATCATAGTTTCTGGGACAAGTTTCAGATCTACAGACCAGTTGACTCACAGCCCGACGTCTACAATACCCGCGACGTCCACGTCTCACCAACCTACCCCTCGTTCAAATTCCAACATCAGAAACGCCGAAGTAGCAGCAGCCACCTTTTGCAAAGGGGGAACAGCCAAGGTGCTCCGATGTCCCACCACGAGGCAGTTGTCGCCCATGTATCCTTCACAGACGAAATCTCCCGACGTGGCAGCTCCTAAACCTCTCCCAACTCCGCCACCTGGGGGGAGAAAAAGCTTACACCGTGTGGGTAGAGCAGCCGACGCCAGTACCTCTCACGGTTCTACCAGCACTAACACAGACAACAGTGGACTCTCCTCGCTCTGAGGCAGGACAAGAGAGGGGCTGGCTAAGAAAAATGATTTTATGTATATTTGTATGCTCTCTTTGTTTGTTTCTTTGTTTTCCATCATTGCTTAGCAGATATTTCTCAAACCTTTTCTTTATTTCATTTTTAAAACCTTATCTTTTAAAATCAAACTTAGGAATAGGAAAGTTTTGAAATGATTAATACATATTATGTACTTCCGTCTGAGCCGACAAACACAAAGATGAAACGCAAATAAACGATGAGAAGATATTTCTTGTATAACATAATATTGAACGTATAGAAAATCCTCAGCTGTGTAAGGCGAATAATGTTGGGATTTTGGTTTTATTGTTTTATTTTTTGTTTGCTTTTTTGCTTTTGTTTTATTTTAGTTTTTAGAGATTATTTTAAACATATATTGCGACACACAAAGCCAAATTTGATGACAACTTTTGTCGAAGAAAGGCAAATTATTGAAAGACATCATTCGTTTTAGAAAGGAGCTAAAATAACTTTGAACCATACTCCACCAAAAGACAAAATGTCTCTCTGATTTTTTCTTCCCATTTTAGATTGTACCATCGGAGGGGGGGAAACCCTGAACATGCACAAACGATAACTAAAACAAATAAACATACAGTTTGCTCATTATGAGGTAAGGTATGACTGATACAAAATTCATTGGTTTCCACATTTAAAATATGTTTGTTTTTGCATGGTAAAAGCTTTTGCACACACGCACTCTCCAAAATGAATGAAATTAAATTGAATGAATGATAAAGAAAATAAAAGAATGTTCAAAGCAGAAATCTACGAATGGCTTTTTTTTCATTGTTCTGTCGTCTGTTCTCGAAACAGCAGCGACCCTAACGCAGATGCGGGGTGAGATCGCTGACGTCAGAACTCTTTAAAAAGACAGAAAATGTTTCCGAAACAAGACAATTAGGCTGACTGGTTGTTACTGGTTGTCTGGTGGCAGGTAGAAGGGGGACAATGTGCGCTCGTTATAGTCGGTAGTCGATATTCTCCAGCGTGGTGGATTTCAGTGTTTTCAACCCAAAAAATGGAACTTTGATAATGATAAGTACAGAGATTTTTCTGAGGGAATCCTCTACTTCCGCCATCTAGGAATTTCCTTTTTTTGATTCTACCTCTCTTGTTGTCATGAAGTTCTTTGTGTAGTGGATGAGTTTTCTTGTCCATTACACCTAGATGCATCTTTACTTGAGCTATCCTATAATGGCATACTCCGATGCCACTTAAACCTAGCAGGTAGTGCATAGACAATATTGGAGTGTCCTTGGTGGAGCGGAGCACAACCCTCCTTGCCTCCTTTTGCACTCGATCCAGCTTTGCTATCTGTGTGTCGGACAGCGTGGGACAGCCCAATCCGAAATCATTGACAGACAGGGCGACCAGCTGCATAATCAGGAAGAGAACTCTATGTGGAAACAGAGCGGCCTCAATTGTCTTGGTAGCACCCACACCTCGTTTGGCCTTTGTATCCACGTGATCGACATGATTGTTGTTCAATCAGCCGCAACGTTGTGAGCAGCAGATCTAGATAAATGACTATACGGGCTTTTGTTTTGTTTTAAAAATCTCTTGATCAATAATACATAATATGATAATAGAATATATTTATATTCTTATGTACTTCTTTCTCTCA